AAGGTTTTGTTGAAGAGGTGAGAATTTGGTAGCCTAATAAATAAAAAATACTAATAATAATGATGATGTGCTTTATGTCATGAGCTTTTTGGAAAACACAGCATTAAAATTTAGCATTAAAATGCATAATTTTGATTGAGGACCTTGTGCATATTGGTGGTTGAACCTTCATAGAAATATTAAAAATTATTGCTTAATTTCTGGCAGCTGGGAATAAACCTTTCATTTGGTCGTCTAACAAATTTGTTACGCATTACTATATATTCTTACTATTGTTATTATTTTACTTTTGCTTGAGGCAGTGCTGTACTTCTAGACCCTTACCTCCATATGTCGTTGCTCATCAATTAGAGTTGTTAAGGTAGGCTGCCAACGTTTCTGTCTACTTGCTGGTAGGCTTTTATCAGCTTCAATCTTTGACTTCAAGAAAAACACAACACTTTTTAGATTAAAAAATGGGTTATTTTGTCAAATTCACGCTGGGTTTTTTTTACCGTTACAGATCTGCAGGACTGATAACGCTTGCTACCTAGCGTTCACATTAAGGTTTAGCCATAGCCGCTAGCTGCTACCGTAGTACACGCTAATGTGGCTATCGGGTAATTGCTAGCAGTTAAACGGCTAAGATTAATATGTATAATTCATAAACTGTTGAACACTTAAAAGCATTAGTGATCTCTCGAAAGTTCTCGTAAGGTTTTTTTTTCCAGTGTTGTGAATCTAAACTACCTCAGCAGCTGTTGACAGGAGCAAAGACAGCGCTGTCCACTTCCTCAAATATAAGAAATACCTAATACTTGTTTTAGTTTACGATTTTAATAGATTTGCGTATTGCTCAGAGTTAGATTTAGATACTGATCTAACTCTAATGTGTGTTTTGTAACCATTTCACCAAACGCACAGTTTAAATCCAAATCCATTTGACTTGTGTGGACATAATGTCTCGATTGATTGATTTTATCAATTTTCTTCCATTTTGGTCATTTTAGGGTGCATTACATGACAAGAAGCCACGCAAGGCAGCAGAAACACAGATCAGCCACAATATTAAAACAATTAAATTATTTATTTAGATTACACATGTTTTGTGCAGTAGACCTGTTTTGTCTTGAATCCTTTACAAATCTTAACTTAAAAATTTGTTTAGGTTGAAAATTTATTTTATATTGAAGGGCGGTTTAATCCAAAGCTTCATAGCACAATGTCTGAAGGTGTTTTCTGTTCCTTCCTGTTTGCCTTTGGAGTAACATATGACAGATTGCACCTAGATGAGCTATATCCATAAGAAACTGGGGAAAAAAATACAAATATGATACAAAGTCATGTAAGCTCATTCATCAT